AGATGAATTATTTACTCCTTACATTTTACATGTAGCAGTATTCGTCTATTGCAGTCCTCAGACTCGAAACGAAAATTTCATTTTCGAATTACTGTATCACAAAAAAATTACTATTAGGAATTAAAACTTACACAAAATTTTGTTGTTTCGGATTTACTAAAATTGTATGTAGATATGTTGTAACGTTAAAATAACGTTATTATTTATTATGAACTTGCCTCTAAATATCAGGAAAAAATGTGATCGTAGCAAAGTACGATATAAAACGTGTTGCAGCGTCATCGTAAGACACATGTTTAATTATGGTGGATGCGCCGGTATACTGAAATCTATATACATATGTATATACTGTGCTCTAATTGTAGTCGTACAACAGACAAAATATTATTTTGTTCTATAAATTTAATTTTGAAATAATTCTTTACTGACGTTGTTTTTACTACTTTCCGAGCGTAAATCGACTCCACCGGGCGACTTGCCAGTTTCATGTTTTCTCGACGTTTCATGATTCCTAGATAGGAAAAAAGTAATCTCCTGTTTCCGTCTGTTTGTGTGTTTGTCTGGCGTCTGTGTCGATTTTTATTAGACACGAAACTGCTGGATCGATTATTGTCAAATTTTGCATGAATATTAGAAATATCATATAGGTGGGTAAATGCTAATAAAAATTTGGCTAGTTATCTCCACCAATAATTTGATGGCGTCATCTCAAAATATTCTATTTTGAAATTATTTAAATGTTATACAACAACTAATGCGCTCTGAGTTTTTTTCCCTAAACGTCCAAATTTTCGCAAAAAGATTAACACAATATAATAGCACTTTACCACTAATTAGCTCAGGATATAACCAGCATTCGATGCCCAACTTGGTCGTTTCTTTTTTTCTTTTGTGGTATGAGTAGTATTATCAATGTTGATGACACCATTACAAATTTTTATTGATCAAATTCGGAACGAGTCACCTCATTTCCTCGAAAATTTGAGAAATTGATACAAAATAAGAATGATAGTATTCCAGAACATTTTGTTCGATTGTGGCCTAATTAATAATTTTAATCCTAGTTAGATAGTTTTTATTTTATAGATATTATCACAAAAATAAAATTTTATAATTTTTTAAAGAAGCGGGATTACATTTGTATAAAACAAAACTGTATAACATATTACTCATACTAAAAGAAAAGTGGAAAATCATAGTGGTGCGTTTCCTCCTAGCATACTCATAGTATAGTTGGCTCCAGAAAAAACGGGAACGGTCCAAGTTAGTATGACATTACTGTGCAAATTTTCCTAGTTTAACCGGGACTATTAAATAGGTTAGAACAATAATAACATTACTAAAATTTTGTGTTAAAATAGTGACAAATATTTAACAAGTTTGTCAAATTGACAAGTAAGAGGCAGGTACATTTTACATTGTACAAAAATACCTTTCCCGTTTTTTCTGGAGCCAACTGTACTTAAAGTATCGTTTAAATTCATAGACATGACATGATGAGCTTATACATTAAAATATTTTCAAAATTTCTTGCCTCACTCGTACTTTATACCAGTTAATAAAAAAAGTAAATTGAATTTATTTCAACAACAAGAAAATAATGGTTGAAATTGTAAAATGTAACGCATTTTCTTTTTCTAGAGTTGAACGTCAACATTTTTCGCTTAGTAATTTTTACCATATGTCACCTAAATAATGTTTATATAAGAGGTATATACGAAAGGAATTCAATAAAGATTGGTATTGATGCCATTATGTAACTTGCCTATACAATAAATTGCGAAGTCGCCTAATATTATTGGGCAAGTTGTTTTGTGTATTTGTACAAAGGTTTGTTTGTTTGGGGTTAATTAGGTATTCTGCACTGCTAGTGTGCCAAATTGTGATTTCCTGGCTCCGCCCCTATAATTTAATGTTAATTTAAAACAAATCCATAACATCAAAGTTTGTAATAATGTAGCTAAAAAATGTTGTCCATTTAATTTTAGATTGTTTTTCAAAAATCTATAACCAATCTAGCACATGCGTAATTCACGATATGAAGCTTTTTTGTGATCTTTACTGCTTCTCTCAAAGTCAAAAGTTGGTCTAACTTATACTGTAAATTGTGTATATATGAAGCGGCAACAACAACTAAGATATAAGATAATCGCATTTTGAGAGCAGCAGCGTTTATCATTAGACGTAATTAAATATATAAAAATTAATATAGTATTTGAATTTTTGATTACTTAATCACTTTAAATTCATATTTTTTAATCTACACTATATTCGCGGAAACATACTACTGCAAGAAAGAAGTTCTATGTAAATAACAGTTTCCGTGTGCAACCTTTTGTTTTAATCAAAGACGAGACAATTCTTTCAAAATTGTAATTGTGTCAAATTCAAGATCAGATATATTTGGTCAAAATCCATCACCGTTTTCATGTTGTCTTATGGCATTATTTGTTTCCTTTTATCCTCAACTAGAAGACGGCTATAAAGTTTTAAATATCTTACATTTTGAAAATAACTAACGCACATACGTATATAGAACTTTTCTATCCTGAGGAAAGAGGGCCACCTTTTTAAACTGTAGTTTCTAAATTTTCAAGATTAATATTAAAAAATTTACAGAATAAGTTTATTTTCCATTTTTTAATTTAACCTATGTTGTTCTCGCGTACATCAAATTTGTTCTTTTTTTCCCCTGTACGATTTTTTAAATTGTATGCGTTTTTCTTGATCTAATGTACAATAATAATTCCTAGGTGTGTTTAATAAATAATCGGGCACCAAAAAAAAAACAATTCTATTAATCAGAGTTAATATTTACTTGAACCAATTATTGAGCATGTTAAATTTATATATATGTTTTATATTTATATTACAATTTCTATACAATATCTTATTCAGAATCATCCTTCTTAAACAGAAAATTCATCAAGCACATTCAAGTCAAATAATTATCACCTATTACCCAATACTTTTACACACGTCAGTAAATTTAAATAAATTCTCTCAATTATAGTAAGTAATAAACTTCTGTTTAATTGTATTTATTAATGTCTGCGTGTCGGAATTTGTGTCACACGTAATTTTTTCACTTTTCTGTAAGTGGTGGCTATATTGTGGTGAGTTCATACTTTGTAAAAGTAGGTGGATATGCATATACATACCACGTATGAGTAAATTGTTACGGACTAACATCAATTAAAGACATCAGTCACTGCGATTCTGACTTTATAAAGTCAATTCCGCATTTTGTGCAATGAAACGTTAAATATCAAACCGACTGGTTGAAGTACTTACTTTAGGTACTTAGCGCTATTACATAAATTAAATATACCATCGCACAATTATTACTTCTGCTATACAAAGAAATATTTAATTGGGTAAGCAGAATTTCAAGTTCTCAAAACTGGATAATTGCTCATCTACTTATATTGCAAGTTTTGTTGCACATTTTTTATAAATTATATTTAATTACGACGTTCACGCACGATGTAAAGATTACGAACATATTCATACACCTAAAGAAGATTGAAGCTATTTACAATTATAACTCTTATTATGTCGAGAATGTCGCAACTAAAAATCTCCAAATCCTAGATAATGATCTGCGAACATAAAAAATATTAGATTGTTGTTGAGCTTATTATAAAACAAGAATGTTTGATAGTATTCTCACCTATAACTATTGCGCCAATTAAATAATCACAAATGAAAGATATGATGAGAGTGATTTGTAGTAATCTAAAAGCATAATAATTATTATTGGGAGCGTTGTTGATGATGCGGCGCATTAGTCAAAAAGATGAACGTTAGCATAATAGACATATCGTAACATCGTACGAGCGTGGAATCGAAATATTTCGTTTTGCGCCTAATTAATTTCGTTTCGTTAAGCAATAGTTTTTTTCACATAATTCAAAAAATGTGCGGATGATTACTTTTAACAATATTGCAAATAACAGTCCATGAAGAAAACAGCAGGAAGTAGGAATAAACGATATGTAGCAATATTATTATGTGACTTGTCTAGAAAGGTGTCAAGAAGGATAATTTGAACATTCTGTTTATTAATTTATTTACTTACATATTTATTTACTAAACAAATACTTTCTAGACGTCTGTTTGTAAAATAACTATAGATAAATTAAACCTAATTACTACGGTTTTAAAAGGGCACGTTAAATTACTTTTTCTAAAAATAGAGATGTTAATTTCATTAAGATGTCAGTTTGAAGAAATTTGTGGTACGGAACTAGTTCAACACTGTCTGCGATAATTAAAAACGCCCCTGCATGTGTCAAGTTATGTAACTGTTAATAAAAGACGTGTTATTCATATATGCACATCTATCAAATTTGTTATTTATGGGTGGTCTTTCTATTAATTACTTAACTGTTTTCAAAGAATTAAAATGGAAGGATTTGTTCGGCTTAGCTTTAGTACTTTTTTCCTTAATTTTGTTTCATTTCCTTGCCTTGAGGGTGTGAAGTTCAGGGATGAAGCAATTTTTTTATAAGTAACCTTTATATAAATAAAAATTGTAACACACGGAAATTACATTTAAGATGACATATTAAAATCTTCACAATAAAATCTTGACAAACGTTGCCTCTTATAAAAAAAAATCAAAGAAAAAGGTTACGTCAATTATGTGCACTCAGTGTAGGCCTAGGAGCTCCTAGATCAAATATACACAAATCTATTGTTTAGTTAAGAACTGACTCATATATAAAGTTCAAATTCAGTGATTAAGTAAGTGGGAGCACAAGAGCCGCTAACGTACGTTACCAATCAATTATTATAAATTACATGCCTGTCACTTTATTAAATTTTATGAATCAAATGAGACAATACTTAAGTAACCATTTTTTACTAACGACCTTGCCCTGCAGGTAATCTTCTCCAACATATGTGGCTCATCCTCTTGTTAGGAGGGAGCCACCGTTTTCTATAAAAGCAAACTGCCGAATCTCAACATCATCATTTTCTGATCAATTCTCCAATCTTCACTTTCAACATGAAACAAGTGAGCTATACAATATTTTTTTATAATGTCGTAATTATGAGATATAATAATATAATAACAAAAAATAATGTTTTCTTGAAAAATTGCAGGTAGTTTTAGCTTTGGCTCTTCTTGGCTTTGCCGCCTGTGCTCGTCTCGACAGCAAGTATCTTCCTCCTCATCAAGGTGGTGCTTCCGGTTCCGGGCAATTTAGGGGCTCAGGAGCATCGAGTGCGTCCGGTCGATATTCCGGTGCTTCATCCGGTCAATATTCCGGTGGTTCTTCCGGTCAATATTCCGGTGGTTCTTCCGGTCAATATTCCGGTGGTTCTTCCGGTGGTTCTTCCGGTCAATACTCAGGCGACGCCTCTGGCAGATACTCCGGCGGTTCTTCGGGTCAATATTCTGGATCGTCCGGTGGTGCTTCCGCTGGACCCCAAGTCCCAATTCTTCGCTTGGAAAACAACGTTAACGGAGACGGAAGCTATAACTTTGCCTACGAAACTGGAGATGGCATCCAAGCTCAAGAAGAAGGTTATTTGAAGAACGCCGGTTCCCAGGATGAGGCCCAGACTGCACAAGGTTCCTTTTCTTACACCGCTCCTGATGGTCAACAAATTGCCGTTTCCTACACTGCCGACGAAAACGGTTTCCAACCTCAAGGCGATCACTTGCCCACTCCTCCTCCAATCCCTGATGCTATCCTGAGATCTTTGGAATTTAACCAAGCCGAAGAAGCTCGTGGTGGATACCAAGGAGATAATGGTCAATACAGAGAACAGCCTCAGCAGCAATACGGAGCTTCTAACGCTGGTCAGCAACAGCCATTTGGTGGCCGTGCTGCTGCTCCCCAGGGTCAATTTGGCGGGAACGCCGCGGCACCTCAACCCCAATTCGGCAGTCGTCCAGCTGCCCCTCAACAACCTTTCGGAGGTCGCACTGCAGCTCCTCAGCAGCAGTTCGGAGGTCCTGCCGCTGCCCCAAAACAACAGTATCGTGGTTCAACTGGAACTCAGCAAGCCGGTAATGGTGGTTACCGATACTAGCTGGTTTAAAGCTGCGATAATAAATGCCAATATGCCAAGATGCCAAGATGTATTATGTACCTTTATGTAATGTAAATATTGTTAATGACAATAAATTATTATTTTGATACAAACAAATTTTTTTTTGAGGTATCAAATTGAATCCTATGGACTACGCTTTTTTAAAAACGTATGAATGTAGTACGCCCTAGTCGTTTTTTCTATAACATTTTGAGTCATAATCATATGCTTTTCAATTTTATGTAATGCATTTATTAATTTTTGAGAGTAGGTACATCATTAATATTGTATAATCACATTTCATTGAGAACATACATCAAAATTTTAAAGAAGTGCACCATGCAAATCTGAGGTAAATTGCAATAACGAATGATTAAAAATTATTTGTTTCTAATACAACCTGTTTACGCAAAATTAAACATAGAGGAAGTTTATTAAACTACAGGTAAAACTGTACATTTTACAAGAGATTTTTTCAATAATATTTTGGGAAGATGTCAACAATTTTTTGAAAAATTAATACATAAATTTTACCGAATTTCTAACACATAAATTAAATGTATTTTGTGAAAATTTCTAATACATCAGTTGCGAAGTTTTATAAATAAATTTAAAATCGGATACAATTTTTTATACACTTTTGGAATTCTAGTGAAAATTTGCCAGCCTCCAAGCAGGAATTAAGAAATTAATAATACAACAGTATTAACTAGAGTGGTGAGGCATCTTTTAGCAACAATGGAGGTGTAAAGGAACATAATTGTCCCTACTATGCCCAGGACACTTTCAAAGAGTTTATACTATAAATGCCTGGTATGGAATATTGAGGAATAAAATTATAGGACCACACTTTTTTCGCTGAAGATTAAATGTTTAAGTGTATTTAAATTTTTTGAGAAACATGCTGCCAATGTTGCTAAATCAGGTAGATTTACAAAGAAGACAAAACATTCAACAGGATGGCACATCCGCGCATTTCCACAGAGATGTGAGACATTATTTAGACGCAATGTTTTTCAAATAAATGGATAGGTAGCGGTTCAATTAATCCTTGCCCCCCTAGAAATCCTGATACACCTCCGCTAAGTAAGTTTCACCTACATCCCTTGCAGATTAAATAATTATTGAAACGTTAGATTTTATTTTCTCTTGGAAAGAGATTTATGAACCATTGAATATCAAGTTTTATATGAACTCTGCATAATTCGTGTTCAACACCCTGACACTCAAATGGTATACACATTTGCCTAGAATAATTTTACAGTGCATCTTGAAAATTAAAAATCAATCTGTCTCAACTTGTTGCTTCTGATATTTTAATGGTAACTAATAACAGTGGAACATAAAGTTTCATTATAAATTTTTATGTTCCGATGTTTTCTCTGTTCCGTCCAAGAAGGTTTTTTCATGCACACATGCTTATACATACTAGCATAGACAAGTGATCGAAAAATAACGGATAAATTCGATTGTACGTCGTTAAGAAGGCTTTGAAGAACTCGAAAAAGTTATTAAAAAATCCTGAATTAAATTTTTGAAAATATTAAACTTCTAAGTTGAACTTCGTAGTCCTGATATGTTTTAATAAGTATGAGGTCTAAAATTCGAATAAAAAATGTAAAAATGACACTAGCCTGTTAACAGTAAAAAGGGACGTTATGATTAGTATTTCAGCAAATTATTATTAATAATAATTTAATGCCTCTTATACATACAGTTCGTTAAAAAAATCAGAAATACGAAGTTAATTCTTTAAGTTTGAAGTTTAATATTTTCAAAAGTCTGCTGCATGAATTTTTTAAATCATTTTTTCGAGTTCTTCAGATCTTCCTTAACAACGCATTATTGAGCTTATCCGTCATTTTTTGATCACCCTACACACAGTTAAAAAATTGGTCGAACGTTATTTCGACAGAACTTCCCTCGGTCCTGAAGTACAATAAAACATATCCAGCTTTTACGAAAAATTATAAAAAAAATTATAAAATTTTAATATCACCCTTATAAGTTAAAATAAAGATATATATGTACTGTTAAAGTAAATGCAAAGAAGTGTGCTACGCGTATTCTTCAAATGAGTTTTTTCTTTTTAAAATTTCATCAACGTAATTAACATTTTTGCAAGGACATATATATGAAATTGGATAGGTGCAGTATAATACCAATTGTATTATTGTATTCCCAAATTTTCGGGCAAATGAAGTGAGCCGATCCTAATTTAATTAACGGAGTAAACTGACTCATTCATTATGTTTTTGAGTCACATGTATAAGCAAGTCTAAAAAATATAGTGCATAAATCACGACTCGTCATATTTTGCACATTTTAGATATGATTTATTCGGCAACATTTTAAGGTGACGTCATCAGTTGTTTGGGAGAATAAGCAAATAACTTTTACCATGCTTACGATAACTTTAAAACAACTGCAATGTTTCAAAGCATTCGGGTTTGCAGATTCAAAATTAAATTGCAAAATATTGTTATGGGGTTTTAATTTGTTTTTTAATTTGGATGTTTCGGGTAGAAACTCCACACGTATTCATGAACTGCACGTGCAGATCTATGTTATTTTATACGATTTAAAACGCATTTACTATGTACAATTTTGAGGTGACGTCATCACGTTGTTGATGGGGATGGTTAAACAAAGTTGGCTGGCGTTTACCATCTATATGATATTCATGATAAAATTTGACAACAATCGATCCGATAATGTCTGAGAATATTTATCTAACAAAAATCGACAGAAACAGCGGACAGACCGACGGACGGATGGACAGACGGACAGACAGACAGACAAACGAAAACGAGACACACATTTTTTCGTACTTTATAAGGGTGGATAACCCATCGAGAAAATATGAAATCAGGCAGTCGCCCGATGGACTCTTTAGCTTCCTCTTTTTTTTCTGCAGTTTAAGAGTTCTTGATAAAATTCTTACTGCCATTTTATCTGTTCTAACGTCGATATGATGATTAGTTGTCCTTCTTTACTGCATAGTGGTTATTCGCTTTTTTTGCATTACTTACTAATTCTGAATAACTCTCTGGTGTTATTCCTCTCTGCTGGTACTACACTGCTCCACAAAATTAATGCACCACTAGAAAAATTTGAAAAAACCATTACAACCTCTGTGAAATAAATTTGAAAGTACATGTTTTAGAAAGAAGGTATAATAACGTTAAATAAAACAACAAAAACAAAACCATTTGAAACATCAATGAAAACATTACCATAAAATTAAATAATTGCAAATTAAAAACTTAAAAAAAAACAACTTAAAAACGAGTGTTCCCGCCTCTACTTCTGATCATAGTTTCGCTTCTCTCAGGCATACTTAAAATTATACGCCGACTTGGTTAAAGGTATTCCAAATTTGCACCAACTGGTTACCAACATCCTCAAGAGTAGCGGATGGCGACTCATGAGCTCTAAGTCGTCTCTCTACCATGTCCCATACTTGTTCTACGAGATTACGATCTGGACTTCGTGTAGATCATTACATAACTTGAAGTCTTGTTGCACTACTGTGTGGTCTAGCATTATCTTGCTGGAATATGAGCTCCTCCCCTATAAATTCTTCAAAAATGTCCAATATGTATCGTTCACTGTTTAGATTGTGTCGAGGAAACCCGTGTATACGAGCCTCTGAAGACACACCCGCCTATGAAGACACACCCGCCTAGATCATCACACATCCACCTCCAAAAGGAGCTTTTTGGATGATGTTGCATTGAGCATATCGCTAATTTGGCGAATGTAGACAAGAACAAGACTCATCTGAGAACAGTACGCGATCCCACTCGTGGGATTCCAACCTAGATGTGCTCCAGCAAACTCCAGACGAGCTCTACGATGGGCTGCCGTTAACAGAGGTCCTGTCGCTGATCGGCGAGGGTGCACATTAGCTTTATTTATGCGTCTTATAATTGTTTCCAGGTTTATTTGCACGTTATCGGTCCGTGCAAGTTCCATTTGAAGATACCTGGTGGTAGTAAACCCGTCTCTCAAGGCTGTAACTCGTAAAAACGATTTTGAATTGCTGTAGTTTTATAATATTTGCCTTGCCTCCGACGTCTCACATAATTTCCTTCTTCTCGATGTCTTTGAACCACTCTAGAACTGGTGATATGTGAGACCCCGAGTCTTCTACCAATTTGACGAAAGCTGTAGCCTTCATTGACTTTTGTCTTTCCATTTCAACAAAAGATGCAAATAAACACTGACAGTTTATAAATAACACAGTTTTTGTTATAAATTTTGCTCTCCATGGGTATTTTTTTTGCATTTTTATAATGAAATCATTTTGTTAATTTTTTTTTCCTAAAAAAACACCTTGCATAAAAAAATCAAAGCTGCAAAATACACTTGTTTCCACATGTGCTTGACCTACCACAACGTACCACTGTCTTTTCATTTTGCAAAAAAAAAGTAAAAAATGAGTGTGCTTTAATTTTGGAGAGCAGTGTACATATTAGAAGCTTTTTATTTTCCAAAATTAAATAAAATTTGCCTAGGAAAATTTTGAAATGAAATCATCAAATTGTTGATGGTCAGCCTTTGACGATATATAGTTTTAAAATACATTCAAAATTCCAGAGCAATTGGTTCTGTACTTTTGAAGATTATGTGTTTAATAAAATCAATAATGACGGCGTCGTAGAGAAATTAGACAAAATTCATGTTGAGAATATTGTCACCTTGTTGGGAAATTTCAATGCAAATATTGAAGTGAACAATATGGATTTTTACAAAATAATGGGAAAGAATGGGACATGAAAGAGAAATACAAACGAAGCGTTGTTATAAGAATTGTGTGGCATCTATAAATTAAAAATGGGACGGACACTCTTTACGTACTAAGATAACCACATATAGTTCATACAAATTTGGGGAAGGGAAAATTTTTATGAAGAATTATTAATAATTAAAATCCCTAAGGAATGTGATTTTTTTTAATTGTGTGATATAATTTATTATAGACGAATATTACTTTTTGTACTTATTTTAAAGAATATAATACTTAATAAAACCTT